GAATTTAGATCCCAATGAAGAGAATTCAGATCCCAATGAAGAGAATTCAGATCCCAATGGAGCGAATTCAGATCCCAATGGAGCGAATTCAGATCCCAATGAAGAGAATTTAGATCCCAATGAAGAGAATTCAGATCCCAATGAAGCGAATTCAGATCCCAATGAAGAGAATTTAGATCCCAATGAAGAGAATTCAGATCCCAATGGACAGAATTCAGATCCCAATGAAGAGAATTTAGATCCCAATAAAGAGAATTCAGATCACAATGAAGAGAATTTAGATCCCAACAAAAGCTGATTCAGGACCCAACGAAGCCAATTCAGGTCCCAACGAGACTCAACAAATCGCACAAAGCCAGTCTCAGGACCAGCAATCAGCCCGATCCTCTCTAACGGGCTTTAAAGACCTCGCTCTCAGGACTCTAACGAGGTGAAGTAAACCAGCCAGAACATAGGAGCGTGACGACCATCAGGAGAGAGAGACTGGCTAATCCTCCTCCACAATTTATAGCAGTAGTTACCTATTTAGGTCCTCAAGATTTCATCATTCTTATCTTTCTTTATCGTCTACTTGAATCCTTATTTCTCCTGCTTTTTTCTTCATTATGATTTGTGGTCTTATTTCTGTGGTTAAAGAAATAAGATTTTGTTTTATTTTATTGTATTTAAAGATTTAATTTATATTTTTTTGGGGGGGATTGAAATAATATTAGGAGCACTAAGCCTAAGATAAGTGATGATAGATATTAGTATAATTATTATTAGTTAGTTTATAGTTATGTCTCAATACTGATCCTTAATTGACCTGAATATTATTATTTTTCAATTATTGAGCTCCAATTTGTGTCATTTGTCAGTCATTTCCAACATGTTTAATTTAATTAATAATGTTAAAGCCATTGTTTTCTTTCGTCCACAAATAGTTCCATAGTACTGTACGAATATCAACACAACGAGGATTATAATTACTTTTTCGTTCGAGCCCGATTCTGACGGCTGATTGTAGCCCCTTCTTGTTGGGTTGAGTCTTAAAGATGTAGGGGCATTGTTAGGAACAGTTTAGATATGCAACACTATCACTTACAGTGAGAGGATGATGATAAGGGTCACAAACTTACCTTTAATAAATAGTGTTTACATTTCTTCTGGGCGATTATGCCAAGCCTCTAATTTCTAATTATAATTAATCAAATATTATAATTAGCCGGTCGTTAAATATTGTCATTTTTAATGGTTTTCATTAAACGACTAACGTATTAGCACATATCATCAGTTTAATTATTAAATAATCGTAAATTATTATACTACGCTAAGTTTATGTGGCAGCAAGCGTGGAGGCGGAGAGGTTGGTACTCCTGGGCGGAGAGGTTGGTACTCCTAGGCCGGGGTTCAGAGACGGAGTGACCTCTGCCATTCATCCCTTCTGAAGATGTATTAATATACGAAAGTACTTAAGGAAATTCCTGTTTCAATTCCGTGGTCTGACATTGTCATATATGCGTTGGAACATGGCGTTGCTCTGCCCAAGAAATTAAACCCCTTGGATAATATATATGAAATAACTAAGAGACCCTAGAGCCGCTAATTTCCTCTTTCAGCGCGTTAGTGTGGCGATCCAGAGAGGAAATGCTCACTGCATCCATGGTTCCTGCCCGCCATCTGAGGAGCTGGAGGAACTCTACAACCTGTGACAAGTAGCCTTGTACCTTGCATGTAACCAGTGTTGTAACCATTTTTGTGTAATGAAGTTTTAAATATGATAAAATGACAAAATACACAAAATTTAGGGGGGGGGGTGGAGGTAGGTGAAGACAATATATGAGTGTACGCTCAAGATTTACCCGGATGCTTCACATCGTCTTCTTCGAGGTCGAGGGTCCCTGCAAACTCAACCAGAGGTGGTACCCCATATATATTTATATATATATATAATATATATATATATATATATATATATATATATATATATATATATATATATTATATATATATATATATATGCGGTGTTGTGGCTAGTGTTGTTGTTCAGCTTTATCTTGCCCAAAACCGGCCTCACAAACCCCACAAGGATTATGAGGTTGGTTTTGGCTCTGTTATAAAATGGACATATGAGTCCCCCCTTGAATGTAAACAAAGTCGATGAAGGTAATTCCTGGCATTTGGAGCATTCCAGTCTTTTAACATGACGGTGGAGATGACTGGACCGTCGCTCACAGTCACCAACAGGACCGAGGACATGACTGGACCGTCGCTCATAGGACTACACAAGCACACGTCTCAAAATAACTGCCGAAGAGTGCGAGGATAACGAGTATTGAAGCCTCGACGGAACTGTTCATTGCGTACACTGTCTTCCTTGGCCGCTCTCACAGTACTCTTCCTCTACTCCAGTTGCTCTCACCTTCGGGGAGACGGAAGGGCTCGTATCTCCCCATTTGGCAGCTCCCCATCTGTCTATACTCCCCCAGTGACTTACGCTTTATGGGGTTTTATTTGACCCAGGCACAGATTGCTGCTCTAAGAGCCTCCCTGGGCCCTCGCGCTAAGGGCTCACCCCTCCACTTGCTGTTGTGAGGGCCCTCTTTAGGGGGGGCGAGTCGGGGACCTCACACAACGCCAGGAAAGCGAGAAATAAGGCTCCAGATGCGGCCCTGTGTTAAAGGGGGGGGCCACTGGCTTTAGTGGCCCTCAAAGGTGGCCATGAATAAGACTCCCTTGTGTGGCCATGGCCGCTTCAAGTGGCCCCGGGGTTCGCCAGGAGGACCTTCTCCAGCCGGCCTCGTGGAGGCGTATCACATTAACACAATGTCAGAGATCTACACTTGAAGGTAAATTTGTTTTAAAAAAGAGATCTATTCTCGTCAGCTGAGGTCACCTGGAAACCTAGTCACCTGCAGGGGCTGCAAGGGGGCCTCACCTAGCTCAGTCACCACATCTAGGGAATCCCTAGGCGAATCTAGACGAATCTAGGGAATCCCTAGGCGAATCTAGGGAATCCCTAGGCGAATCTAGACGAATCTAGGGAATCCCTAGGCGAATCTAGGGAATCCCTAGAGGAATCCTGGCGAATCTAGGGAATCCCTAGGCGAATCTAGACGAATCTAGGGAATCCCTAGGCGAATCTAGGGAATCCCTAGAGGAATCCTGGCGAATCTAGGGAATACCTAGGCGAATCTAGGGAATCACTAGGCGAATCTAGGGAATCCCTAGGCGAATCTAGGGAATCCCTAGGCGAATCTAGGGAATCCCTAGGCGAATCTAGGGAATCCCTAGGCGAATCAGGGAATCCCTAGGCGAATCTAGGGAATCCCTAGGCGAATCTAGGGAATCCCTAGGCGAATTACTATAATTGTAAGCAGCCAAATGCAACATTTACCCTGTCCTACATATGACCTATATATTTTTACTATATTTGCCCCCCTACAGTATTCACTTTACGTCTACCTCTGAGGAGGCTAAGTTGTACGTCAGCGAAATGCGTCAGGCCCGTTAACAGCGTCAAATTAACTTTGATGAATTGATTGTTCACCTTCATTCTAAAGGTGAGAACGCGATGGACATCAAGAGTCGTGCTAGAATCATCGATCCAAGCCTTTGGGTGTCATTCAATACACACCTAGACTATAAGACAGTCTGTCTGTCTATAAGACAGACAGACGTCCAGATAATACCCTGTTACACAGTTCAGGCGGCCGGATAGATGCGTGTGGTGGCCGTCTAACTCCACTTGATGTGTGTTCACCGGCCAGTAATGGGGAGCCGGATGTTGGGTGAGTGTGAGGGGAGGGGAAGAGCCGGATGTGGATGACTGTGGGGGGGGGGGGAAGAGCCGGATGGTGGGTGACTGTGTGGGGGGGGAAGAGCCGGATGTTGGGTGACTATGGGGGGGGGGGGGAAAGAGCCGGATGTTGGGTGACTATGGGGGGGGAAGAGCGGATGTTGGGTGACTATGGGGGGGGGGGAAGAGACGGATGTTGGGTGACTATGGGGGGGGGGAAGAGCCGGATGTGGGTGACTATGGGGGGGGGAAGAGCCGGATGTTGGGTGACTGTGGGGAGCCAGGGAGCCAGAGATATAAAGGAAGTCTGGGTGGCTATATAAGGGATAGGATTTATCACGGAAGAGGGGTGGAGAATGGAGGAGAGAAAGTAATTGGACGAGAATAAGAGAGAAGAGAGAGAGAGATGGAGGGAGAAGTAGGATAGAGATGGGAGAGAGAGAGAGAGAGAGAGAGAGAGAGAGAGAGAGGTAGGAGATCTTGGAGTGACGGGTTCTCTTCCTCCACGACAACAAAGGCGTCTCTGGCTCTCTCTCTCTCTGCTGCGAATAAAGAGAAGGATCAGGTGCAGGAGGAGGAGTAGGAAAGTGGTGAGAAGGAAGTGCCAAGAAAAAGAGGGGAAACGAAGACCAATAAATTAAGTGGTTCCCAGGCTAGAGATGCAGCAAGTGAACCACCCAGAGTGTAAGTGGGATGAACAACCACTCAAGCGACACAGTACACTTAAGAACACGGTATAATCACTATACCTAGCACCATCACAGTAACACAGGGACTCTGGAGTCTCTGGAACACACAGTAACACAGGATTGGAGACACGCGCACACACACAAGTAACACAAGGATTGGAGACACACACACACACAAGTAACACAAGGATTGGAGACCCACACACACACACACACACACACACAAGGATTGGAGACACACACAAGCAACACAAGGATTGGAGACACACACACACACACACAAGCAACACAAGGATTGGAGATCCACACACAAGTGACACAAGGATTGGAGACCCACACACACAAGCAACACAAGGATTGGAGACCCACACACACAATCAACACAAGGATTGGAGACACACACACACAAGCAACACAAGGATTGGAGACCCACACACACAATCAACACAAGGATTGGAGACCCACACACACACACAAGTAACACAAGGATTGGAGACACACACACACGTAACACAAGGATTGGAGACCCACACACAAGTAACACAAGGATTGGAGACCCACACACACAATCAACACAAGGATTGGAGACCCACACACACAAGTAACACAAGGATTGGAGACACACACACACGTAACACAAGGATTGGAGACCCACACACAAGTAACACAAGGATTGGAGACCCACACACACACACACACACACACAAGGATTGGAGACCCACACACACACACACGCATCCACACAAGGATTGGAGACCCACACACATACACACACACAAGGATTGGAGACTCACACACACAAGCAACATAAGGATTGGAGACCCACACACA